CCAATGGAACAGAATGGAGAGCCCAGATATAAACATATCCATATACAGTCATTTAATCTATGACAATGAAAGCAATAATTTACATTGGAATAAAGATAGTCTATTTAATAAATGGTGCTGGGAAAATTGGACTGACAGGTGCAAAAAAATGAAAATGGACCACCTACTTACAACATATACGAGAACAAATTCAAAATGGATTAAAGACTTAAATGTAAGACCTGAAACCATAAAACTCCTAGAAGAAAACATAGGAAGTAAATTTGCAGACATTGCCCTCAGTAATATTTTTACTGATATATCCCCTCAGGCAAGGGAAATAAAAGAAAAAATGAACATATGGGATTACATCATACTTAAAGGTTTTTTCACAGCAAAGGAAATCATCAATAAAACAAAAAGGCAGTCTATTGAATGGGAGAAGGTATTTGCCAATGAGATATTTGTAAGGGGTTAATATCTAAAATTTATAAAACACTCTTTCAACTCAACACCAAAAAAAACAACAACAATCCAATTAAAAGATGGGCAGAGGATATGAAGAGGCATTTCTCTAAAGAGGACATACAGATGGCCAACAGGCATATGAAAAAATAATCAGTAATCATTAGAAAAATGCAAATAAAAACCACAATGAGATACCACCTCACTCTGGTCAGAATGGCTATCAATAAATCAACAAACAATAAGTGCTGGCGAGGTTGTGGAGAAAAGAAAACCCTAATGCACTGTTGCTGGGGCTGCAGATTGGTGCAGCCATTATGGAAATCAGTATGGAGGTAACTAAAAAAACTGGAAATAGAACTACCATATGACCCAGCAATTCCACTCTTGGGTATCTATCCAAAAACCCGAGACACTAATCCATAAAAATATATGCACCCCTATGTTTACTGCGGCAGTCTTTACAATAGCCAAGACTTGGAAACAATTGAAACGCCCACCGGTAGACGACTGGATTAAGAAACAGGTACATTTATACAATGGAGTATTACGCAGCTATAAAGAAGAATGAAATCGTACCATTTGCAATGATATGGATGGACCTAGAGAACATTATGCTAAGTGAAATAAGTCAGTTGGAGAAACACAAATACCATATGATCTCAATCATGTGGAATCTAAAAAAGTGAGTGAATGAGTGAAGTAAACAGAAATAGTCTCAGAGATATAGAGGAAACTGATGGTTGCTAGTTGGTTGAGGGGTTGGGATGAGAGAGAAGGGGAAGGGATTAGACAGCATAAATAGGTAACTACAATATTGCCACCACAGCGATGTGAAAGAGTTCGAGAAATATAATTAATAATGTTGTAAATATTTTGTAGGGTGTCAGATGGTCACGTCTTGTTAGGGAGACCACTTCATGGATGGGGTAGAGGCTTGATCACTGCACTGTACACCTGAAGGTGATGTCATATAATATTATATGTCAACTATAAGTGAATATATATGTAGTCACAGGATGTGGAGTATAGTGTGGGAGTGGAGTCAAGGAAATTGTGATATGATATGGGAGGGAATGGGGCAGTGGTTTGGGGGTGGGGCGTTTTCACTTTGAGGGGTAAAATGTATAACTTTTGCCACTGTGTTGTACAGCTGAAACTAATTTTAAAAAATGTTTATTTCACAAGAAAAAAATTAAGCTAAAAAAATAATTTTCCTTCCCAATGCAGGAATCATATTAATTGATGTGTGACATCCTTATGCCTTTAATCATTTTCAAAAAATTTTAAAAACTATAGTCAATGTTTACCATTCCTGATATGATTAGTTGTAATAAAATTTAAGTGACTGAGAAAACAATTAGGACAGAGGGTGAGAAAGAAATATTTTGATCCATAATTTAACTAAAACTTGGCTGTTATTCACTGGTTCTTTTATTTAAAAAAAGATTTTATTGGTGAATCGGGGAAGGGGAACAGAGAAGTTGCTGTCCTTTTTTTGTTCATCAGTATATTTGGAGAGGACGTCGTTTCACTGGCCCACGTTGGTATTATCATTGTGTTCTTCCTGGGTGAGGCAGTCGCTCATCGGCCATTGGACAGCTGCTCATGAAAACACACGCTAGCTGCTGGGCAGCCCCACTGCAGTGTACGCCGTTGCTGGCAACTCACGGCAGCCCAGCTCCAGGTTGGACTGCTGTCATCTTAGCTGTAGAAGGCTCAGCATCACTGGCCCGCATCTCACATGGCTCAGGGACCTGCTGCTCAGAGCTGGCATTCTAAGCTAACTCTTAACCAGTGCGCCTCTTGGCTGGCCCTATTCATTGGTTCTTAAAATAGTGTACTCTTTCAACATTTTCTCAAAGAGCATAAACTATTTTTGCAATTTCCCGTTATATAACAAGTTATTTTGTTCTAACAAATTCTTTCTAATGACTGTTTTTAACATTCTTTTCCTTCTGAAACCATATCTCTCCACATAACTTTTAAGTGGTGTTTTTGTCCATCATCATTTTCTTCCATATCAAAGGGATGACTAACATAGCAAAGTGAGGGGAAGCTTCACTTCTGAAGGTAAATAAAAAATAGCAATGAGTATTTGCTTCCAGTAGAGCACCCCTTTCATATATAAGGTCAAGAAAGACAGTACAAATTCATTTTGATTAGTGGAGGACTATAACTGAGCTTTTTTTATGACTTGCTGTTATGGGCTGAATTGTGTCCTTCCACCAAACTTTACAAGTTTAAGTCCTAAACCCCAGTTCCTCAGAATATGACTTATTTGGAGATAGGGTCTTTAAAAAGGTAATTAAGTTAAAATGAGGTCATTAGGGTGAGCCCTAATCTAATGACTGGTATCCTCATAAAAGAAGGAAATCAGGACACAGACACCCAAATCATGAAAATACAGCCATCTACAAACCAAGGAGGCCTCAAAGGAAACCAAGCTTGCTGACACTCGATCTCCAACTTCTAGCCTGCAGAATGTTGAGAAAATAAATTCTGTTGTTTAAAGCCACTGTTCCAGACTGATTGGATCCTCCCAAAATTCATAAATTAAAGCAACATCCCCTGATGTGACTATATTTAAAGACAGGGACTTTACAGTAGTAAAGGTTAAATGAGCTCATAAGGGTGGGGTCCTGATCCAATAGGGCTGTACAGTGGCCATGTGAAGACAGTGAAAAGACAGCCATGCATAAGCCAAGGAGAGAGGCCTCACCAGAAAGCAACCCTGAAGGCACTTGAATCTTATATTGCTAGTCTCCAGAACTGTGAAAAAATAAATTTCTTTTGCTTAAAAAAAAATCAGAAAACAAAAACACTAGAACAGTAAAACTGAAAGTGTTTAGTTAATAATGTATCAATGTTATGACAAATGTACCAGTGCAATAAAAATGTTAATGGGACTGTGTGAGGAATATATAGGAAATCACTGTGGTAACTTTTCTTTAAATCTACAACTATTCTAAACTGAACGGAATTTAAAAAGTTTTAAGTTACTGTAGGTTAGATCATGTCCTTTAGTTTTCTGTAAATCAACAGCTTTCTGAAAAATCAAGCACATAGAAAGAGATGTCTTTTGACTTTCATTTCCCTTTTGGTTGTGCAATAAGCCTACGTTGTATCAAGATTTGAAGAGACTGAGAGGCAATCCAATTTTCTTAGCTGCTGGGATTCTCCGGAAAAAAGGAGTGCTGATGCAGTCTATGGTGCACTAGCCCTGGAGATCACATGATACAGCCTTCATCCAAAAGTGGCTCTCACTCCTGGCTCTTTCCTTTGGCAGGGATGCCACTAAGTTAAGTGCTGATAAGCCAGTGTCAAAGAAATACCTGTTCTCCACTTAGTGCTAAAGTTATACCATCATTTTCCCTCACACCAGGGGTTGGCAAACTGCGGCTCACGAGCCACATGTGGCTCACTGGGTACATTGTCTTAAAAGTTTGCCAACCCCTGGAAGAGCCAATCCTGTCCCTCACAATTTAAATTATTTGAAAGCCATAAATATATTTTTAGATAATCACCATTATGTGAATAATAGCCTTTAAAAATTTGATAAATGAAACTATGATAGTTTTATTTTCAATTTACTTCAGAGCCACATGTATGTACCCAAAAAGCTGCATGTGGCTCACGAGCCAGTTTGTTGACCTCTGGTGGCTTTTCCATCTCAAAGTTTGCCAACCCCTGATTCACACCTTATCAACACAAGATGGGGAGTAGAAAACCTACTCAGGGAATCAACTGACCTGAGTATTTTCCACGTTCTGAATTTATCAGATCATACTTGCAGAAAACAACATGTCCAGGTTGAGAGTTTTTATTGGTCCAGGTTTTAAAAAAGAATTTCAGTTACTTCTATGTGTTGCCTAACCATGTAGCCTGAAACAGACTGAAGAAACATTTTCTTGGTTAAGACTCTATTAGTTTCCCCAAAATGTGTCTTTCAATACTAATGTGGTGCTTGTGACATGAACGTAGCCCTGATTTTATTCTAATTTTAAAACCTGCTATCCAAGAAGGGTAGAAATTAACTGGTTTGCAATGCTGCAGTGTGAGCAAGCATGGTGGGGATGCAAAAAGGCTACATGCATACAAGAAAGCTAAGAAGACAACTTGCTGTTTTATTCATTTTATTAGTTTCAAGTGTAGAAAACAATGTGATATTTACATCACTCACAAAGTGATAAACTCCCCTCCCCCAAAGACTTGCTTTTTAATTACTCACCACAAAATGAACCACTAGCTGGCATAAAATGAAGGCCATGAATATGTAAGAATCACTATCCACTACACACATGCACACACACAAGAATTCTTGAGAAATCTTATGGGTCGATAAGGTCCTAGAAAAACAAGAGCCAGACCGATATTCAGACACAGCAGGCAGGCTAAAGTCTAACAGCATCAAGTTGAGGGAAGTCAACAAAAGCAGCACATAGACTGTCATTCAGAAAAGGAAAGTGAACAGGTCCAGAGCAGGTTTGGCTACTGCCTCCTACTAGAAGCAGTAATGAAATCTGTTACATCCTCATACAGATGCACCACATAGCTCAGAGACTAGACACAAACATTTATTGGTGTTGTACACAGAGTTGATGTTATTCTTCCATCTTTAAAACTTCACATTCCATAGTGTTTATGCATAGGTAAATATTTTCTACAAACTTAATATTACATATAAATCACAAGTTTTGGTACATCAGTTCTAGGTGAAGAATTTATCTTCAATTCTGAAACTGATACATTTCCTCAGAGAAAAATTATCTGATGCAAACTCAATATATGTTCGAAAATTACAGTTATCAAAACACAAGTTTTTAGCCTGTTAATTATTTCATGTTTAGTAAAATTCACTTGGGGGTAAAGGCTTTTGTGTTTTTCCTCGAGATTTTTCTGATTTTTAATGGTCTTCTGATTATTCAGGACATTGACAGACATTTTCTTCCTCATGTAAAGTCTCTGATGTATAATGATAGGCTGAATCCTGATAGGTCTTCTATTATATTTATAGCACTTCATCCCATTCTAAAAGAGGTACCTATACTATATGCATTTAACCAACAGACTGAAATCTGTTAAGAGCTCAACAGCATAAAACCTAAGTCTTGCTTAAAACACAAAAAACTGGTGAATATCAGTTAGTGGGGAATTCTGTTTCACCCAATTATTCAGACTCTAGCTTTTTAAAGCAGCACCCAAGTCTGCCATGGAAATTTCTCGATTCCAGTATAACACAGATACAAACAATATAAGGTGACTTTTTAAGGCCAGATTTAGCTTAAATGTAATAGCATCATATTCCATGACTAGACCCACCTTGGGCTGGGAAATTTAGACAAGCTATGTGCCTAGCACAAAAAAAATATTTAAATAATTTGCCAGTCTATATGGCAAGAGTTTCTCCACTGTGTTATATGAGTTTCTTTAAGATATCCCAGATTTATTATTTTTTCTCTTTGGTGTGCATTCTGTTGTGATGTACTCTAAGAGCTGTCTTACGAACAAAAGTTTTCCCACATTCATTACATTCATAGGGTTTCTCCCCTGTATGAATTCTCTGGTGTACTCTAAGAGTTGAATTTTGAGCAAAAGCTTTCCCACATTCATTACATCCATAGGGTTTCTCTCCTGTGTGAATTCTCTGATGTGCACACAGGTGTGTCCTTTGGGAGAAAGTTTTCCCACATTCATTACATTCATAGGGTTTTGCTCCTGTGTGAATTCTCTGATGTACTCTGAGGTTTGAATTACGGGCAAAAAATTTCCCACATATACTACACTCATAGGGTTTCTCCCCTGTGCGTGTCCTCAGATGTGCTCTAAGGTTTGATGTCTTGTAGAAAGTCTTCCCACACTCGTTATATCCATAAGGTTTCTCCCCTGGGTGAATTCTCTGATGTGCACATAGGTGTGATTTTTGGGAGAAAGTTTTCCCACATTCATTACATTGATAGGATTTTACACCTGTGTGAATTCTCTGGTGTACTCTCAGAGTTGAATTATGGGCAAAAGCTTTCCCACACATACTACATACATAGGGTTTCTCCCCTGTATGTATTCTCTGATGTGCACTGACATATGACTTCTGGGAGAAAGATTTCCCACATTCATTACATCCATAGGGTTTCTCGCCTGTGTGAGTTCTTTGATGGACTATAAGGGCTGCTTTATAGACAAAGGTTTTCCCACATTCATGACATTCATAAGGTTTTTCCCCTTTGTGAATTCTCTCATGTCCACTGAGGTATGATTTCTGGGAGAAGGTTTTCCCACATTCACTACATGCATAGGGTATTTCACCTGTATGAATTCTCTGATGTGTACTGAGGTGTGTCTTCTGGGAAAAAGTTTTCCCACATTCATTACATCCATAGGGTTTTTCTCCTGTGTGAATTCTCTGATGTGTACACAAGTGTGTCCTCTGGGAGAAAGTTTTCCCACATTCAGTACATTCATAGGGTTTCTCCCCTGTATGAATTCTCTGATGTGCACTGAGGTGTGTCTTGTGAGAGAAAGTTTTCCCACATTCATTACATGCATAGCGTTTCTCCCCTGTATGAATTCTCTGATGTGCTCCAAGATGTGACGTCTTGGAGAAAGTTTTCCCACATTCATTACATTCATAGATTTTCTCTTCTGTGTGAATTCTCTGATGTTCTTTGAGCTGTTCCATCTTGAAGAATGATTTTCCAGATTTATTACTTTGATAGCGCTTCATCTCTTTGTGTATTCTCTGATGTTCAAAGAGGGCAGGTTTCTTGTAAGACTTCTCACATCCATTGTTATCATAAGGTTTCTTCTTTGTGTGAACTGTCAGATGTTCACTGAGATTTGACGTCTGACAGGAAGTTTTCCTACATTCATTACATTCACAGTGACTGACCCCCATATGAGTAGCAGGATAATGAATAGTGTGTGAATTGGAACAAAAGGATTTCCTGCTTTCCTCACATTCATACGTTTTCTCCCCTGAGTGGGTCCTCTCATGCTGAATGATGTATGCTTTCTCATTAAAGGATTTCCTGCATTCATTACTTTCAAATGACTTCTCTCCTGTGTCACTTTCCTTATGTACACTGAGAAGTGAGTTTTGATACAAGCATTCCCCATATTTACCACACTCATAGAATTTCTCTTCTGTCTGAGTTCGCTGATGTATTGTAAGGTCTAATTCCTGGCAGAAAGCATTTGTACGTCCATCAAAAACACAGAACTTATCTCCAGTTTGTGTCTTCTGATGTACTAGATGGGCTGAGCTCTGGCTTAAGTTTTCTTCACATTTACTGCTTTCAAAAGCACCGTGTCTTGTGACAGTTTGCTGAGGTTGAGTGTTGGGTGAATTCCTGTTGAAGTTATTTTCATTTTCATTACATTCATAGTTTGTCATAGCCCTGTGAACTATACTGTATCCCACAATGGTGGTTTTGTCACAAGATCTCCCATATTCATTGATATCAAAGCATTTCTCTCTTGTACCAGCTCTCATGTTAAATACAGTTGCTTTATCACAATTTTTCCGAAATTCATCATCCTGACAGGGTTCCTCTCCTGTTAGACAGCTCTGAGCTGTGACAGGGACAACAGTCTCATCATGTAAAACTTCTCCAAGTTCATTATATTCAAAACACTGCTCCAGAGTTTGAAATTTCTGATGACTTTTCTTATGACTGAGAGGTTGCACATTTTTATTATATTTGAAAGACTGCTCTCCAGCATGAATTTGTTCATGTTTAATATCAAGCTGCAACTTTTCACATACATTCATGTAGTCAGTCTTCTTTCTTGAACAGTTTCTATCACTAACAATTAATTCAGAAACAAGTGGCAAACTCATTCTACAAAAGTCACATTTACAGGGCATTTTTTCTGAAAAATCTGGAGTTACAGCCAGATTAATTTGTTTCCCTAAAACTTTTTGCCCTTCTTTACTCAGTGTTTTGTTATCAGTGATTATTAATTGCCATGGAGGGTTCATTTGTTTTTCCTGGTTCCCCTCAATGTGGACATCAACTTGGTAGTATCCTAAAATGACAAAAATTGAAAACATTGTATGAATCTTACATTTCTTATTGAGAGGAGCTTACAGCCATATGTTACGTCATGTATTGTATAGTTTCAGGTCATGTTTCCAAAATTAATAATTCATGCACATAGACAGAAAGACAGTCAGGCGCTCGCGCTCGCTCTCTTGCTCTCTCCCCATCCGTGTTTTAATTAATTTAAAAGAAAAAAAAAACAGGTGTTATCCAGTGCTACCCAAGATGGAGCAGCCCCATTCTTCTGAGGTCCTCCCTCTTACAACTGGAAATCCCTAGGGGGAAAACATAACAAACAAATGAATATGCTACAAAATGAAAAGAAGGTGGACTCTTGGACTTAAGAAATGACATGGAAGAGAATTCCAATTTTCTTTCTGCTTCCCATATATCTTATATGGGGTGCTAAAGTGCTGGAGAAGCTTGCAATCCAAAGCCAGCAATAGGCAGAGACAAAACAGAGCTAAGAAAATTCTGTTACTTCTAACCGAAGATCTGAGAAAAAGGTGTTCTAACAGAACAGAAAATCTTTTTGACAATTTCTGCCATACTCAAGCCAACCTCCCGCCCCTACACACACACAAAAAAGAAACATTCTTCTCTGTGGTTGTAACGCACATATATAAGGATTTGTACATACTTGCAAATTTTCCTTGAGCCAAACCAAGAACTCATCGGAAAGATAATGAAGAATCCTGAGAAATTTCCATTCATAAGACATTCTGGGAGATGGTAACAGCAGTCACTGCCAAAATTCCTGGAAATATATTCCTATCTACTCTATGAAATCTGCATGTGTAACAGCAACAAATCTGTTCATTTAGGGCACTTCTGGTCAACTCATAGCATGTAGGAGAAAAAAAGAAGGAAAATAAACAAGCACAGTAAAAAGAAAAGAGATAGAACGATACAATAGGCCCAATATTACAGCTAGAAGAGATGAAGTAGCACTTGTAAAAACCATGTTCTCAAAACCTAAAGGCACAATACATTAAAAAGGAGCTGAATTCACATTATTCTCAAATGCACATGAAGTGTTCATCAAGACAGACCACATTCTGGGCTGTAAGACGAATCTTTACAATTATAAAGAAGAGGAATCATATAAAGTATGATCTCAAGCTATAGAGAAATTACACACAAAGTTATTAGTAACACAAACTGGAAAAATACAAAAGAATTTTAAATTAATACAGTTCCTTTCAACCATGCATCAAAGAGGATGTCTCACAGAACATTAAGATATTTTGAAGTAAATGAAACATAGAAATTTGTGGCATGCAGCTAAAATAGTACTCAGGTCAATTTATAGCTTAAAATTTTCACATTAGAAAAAAAAAAGACCTCCAACTAGTTACTTAAGCTTCCACTTTAAGAAACTATACAAAGAGAAGGTAAATCTAAATAATGCGAAAGGAAGAAAATAATAAAGATTAGAGAATACAATGAAACTGAAAATGAAGAAAAAAATCAATCAAGCTAAAGCTTCTTTGAAAAGATTAAAAAAAAAAAGATAAAACCAACAGAGAAAAATGAGAAAACACGTGATCAATATCAGAAACAAAAGCAACAGGGGATATAACTACTGAAACAACAGTTATTACTGTGATAATAAAGAATATTAAGAGAAACTCTATGCCCATAAATTTGCAAATTTACACGAAATGGACACATTTCCTAAAAACAAAAAACGACCAAAGTAACTCATGTAGATCTATTTAAGAAATTGAATATGTGGTAAAAAACATGTAGTTCAAAAAGCAGGTCCAGGACTACATAGTGTTAACTAGTGAATTCTACCAAACATTTATAGAAGAAATAATATCAATTTTACATCATCTGTTTGAGAACATACAAGATGTGGGCATATATCCTAAATCATTTTATAAGGCCTGTATTATCCTCAGAGCAAAACAAAACACACACAATTCAAGAAAAAACAAAAAACCTACAGACCAATACAATATCCCTTATGATATAAAAGTAAAAACATTGAAAAACAGTAGCTACAAGAACACAGCAATAAATATAAATAATAAATCAGAATCAAGTGGGATTCATCAAAAGAATGCAAACTGTTCCAACTTCAAAAGTTATTCCATGTAATCCATCATATAAATAGTCTAAAAAATTAAAATCACACAATCATATAAATTATTTAATTTATTTTACTAAATTCAAAATCCATTCATTAACCTAATAAAAGGAATTTACAAAAAGTCTAGACTGAATGCCTTAACCCTAAGATTGGGAAAAAAAGACAAGAGTGTTCACTCTCAGCACTTCTACTTAAGAGTGTAGTGGAAGTTCCAACCAACGAAATATGGTAAGAATAAAAATGAAAGATACAGAGTAAGTTTACACAGAAAAATCACAAAAAGATATTTTATCTTTTGAAAATCTCCTTAATAAGCGTTTTCAGCAAAGGCAAACAAACTACAAAGCCAATATATAGAAGCCAATAATATACAAATATGATCAACTGGAATTTGAAGTCAGATGAACATCATTTACCATAGCGCACAACATGCACCCCCACGCAAACGCACACACACACAAACACTAGGTATCTCTATACTGAAACCTACGGATGAAACAAACCATAACGTAAGAAATCCTAAATAAATGGAGAGGTATATGTTATTTTGGGATTGAAAGACCATACATTAAGATGTCAATTCTCTTCAATTTGATCTATAGATTCAATGCAATCCTAGCTGAAAGGCCAGCATGCTTTTTTGTAAATATCAAGAAGCTCATTTTAGGGCTGGCTGAGTGGTTCAGTTGGTTAAGAGCACGAGCTCTGAGCAACAGGGTCGCCGGTTCAATTCCCAGCCTCGGGTGAGCTGCACCTGAGGCTGAGCTGCCGCTGAGCTGTCAACAGGTGTCAGGATGGCTCAGCTGGTGAAAGCACGTGCTTCTAACAATAAGGTTACCTGTTCGACTCCCACATGGGATGGTGGGCTACACCCACCCACAACTAAGATTGAACCTGGCACCTTGAGCTGGGTGGCCATGAGCTGCCGACGGGCGGCTGGATGATGACTGGACTTTGGGAGCTGAGCTAGCTACGCCCTCCACAACTAAGCTTGAAGGACAACAATTGGCTGTTCCCCCTCCTCAATTCCCCAACACAGTTCCCCTTCCCCAATAAAATCTAAAAAAGAAAAAAAAAAAAGCTTATTTTAACATTGATACAGAAGAAAGTTGGTGGACTCACGTTACCTGATTTCAAGAATTATTAATAAGCTAGTGTAATATAGTTAATGTGCTATTGGCATAAGGATATGCAGATGAATAAAATAACTAGAGATGTCATAGAAATATACAATTTTAGACATAAAGAATTATGTAAAATACATACATATGCAAAAATATGCAAACATACCCACCTGTTTTCTAAAATTTTGCAAATGTTGTTCAATGGAAAAATGATCATCTTTCCAACATATGGTGCTAGAATAACTGCACTCCCTCTTAAAAAATTTAAACTTGACATACACCTCATACTTTCTATAAAAATTAAAGCCAAATAGATCACAAAGTATAAAATATGAAATTAAAAAATTTCTAGAAAAAAAACATGGGCATAATCTGTATTCCTTTGAGTTCTGATGTTTCTAGATGGGACAACAAAACCATGGATGGCCCTTAGAGAAAATTAAAGAATTGGACTTTATCAAAATTGATGTTCAGTTTTAGCCAGCCTCCTCTGAAACCATGCCTACAGAAGTGGGGTACAGTTTCACCACTGCCAAGTCGGGAGAGAAGTCCAGGTTCCCCACTAAACCTCTGTTGACACCCTGGACGTTGGAGAAGAAAGATGCCACTTAACACTGGGCAAGGGTGAGAAATCAGGCCCCCAAAAGCCTCCTACCTGTACCCAGTGTTTCATCAGGTGCCAACGTCCCTAGGTCATCATCACTCTTTCCATCTCTTAGAATCTTACCATATACATATATGGCACACACACACACACACACACACACACACACACACACACACAGATATGTATAGATGTAGTATATGTCCAAGTACATATTTAACTTAACTTAGTGGGTAAAGTAGGAGAGGATATATTTACTCCATCTTTCCCCTGGTTAAGCCTTTTTATGTCTTATTAATTCCTTACCTAAGCACACTCATGAACATGTTTTCCTTATTATCATATATTTCTAGTTTTGTTTTGAAAATCAGTTCATTAAGCCACCTGAATCCAATTTTTTGGTTCTGATCCATAAAGTTACCTCACTGTTCTGTAGGGATAGTGTCATGTGTCAAAGACCAATTGTCTATAAAGCATGTTTTTCTTGAGCTTTCTTTCCTGTTTCATTAATTTATTAAAATATCCACCTCCAGCTGCACACTACTTAACTACTCAGAGCTTTACATAAATCCTTGAAATCTGGTAGAGCAAGTTCACTCTATTTTATGAATGGGATTTAGTTTGCTATTGAATTAAATCTTACAAATCTATCCCCACTTGAATTTTTTATATAAAAGTACTTCTTTTCTTTTGTCTTTGTTAGCGTTAGCTAAAGTTTTACCCATTTTACTGTTTTTTACACTAAGAAAATTCTATAATTTGTTTTCCAGTTTACTTTCACTTTAAAATTCTTCTGCTTTCATTAGTATTCTTTTGTTATTGTTTTTACTTATTAATATAAGTAAAATACTAAAAATTTACCTCTATTCAGTAATTTAGCTATATTCTAAGGTTTCTAATATGCATGTTTATTCTTATTTTATAAATGTCATGCAATTTTGGGATTTCGTTACACATTGTTTAAAAGGTATAATTTTTTATGCTTCCATATTGTAAGTTTTTTGTTTACTCATTTTATCATTAATTACTAGGTTTATCAAACTATGCTGGGAGAATATTATTTGTAGTGATTCCAATTAGTTGGATTTACTGTATTCTTTTTAGACTAAAACTATATTTTTAAAAATGTGTTATTCTATGGGAATTTGAAAGGCTTATCCTTTGATTTCAGCATACACATATACAATTATGTTTCACTTTAATACAAATATCATTTATATCCTCTATAGGAATACTTATTTAATATTCATAGTATTTCTTATTTCATCAGAAGAGGTAGAGCAGGTCCTCAAATAACTTCCTTTCATTAAAAATCGTTTTGCGGCAATGTTGATGACAACAAAAAATCATTTCCCAGCCAGGGCCACTTTCCATGACGAGTTGGCACATTCTCCGCATGTCTGTGTGGGGTTTCTCCAGGTACACTGGTTTCCTCTCACACCCCAAGATGTGCATGTTTCATGAAGTGGCGTGTCTACACTGCCCCCAGTCTGACGGAGTGTGGTGTGTGTGATGCACCCTACAATGCAATGGCGTCCTGTCCACGATGGGTTCCCACCTTCAGCCCTGAGCTGCTGGGATGGGCTCCTGCCACCTGCCATACTGAGCTGGCATAAGCGGGTTGGAAAGTAATGATTAATGTTTCTTAAATCTATGTATAGCTCTCATTCACATAAATGTTTAATGTTAAAAGTGTTTCAGATCTTTATGTAGACGTTTGGTAATATTTTTGCTGTAGGAACTTAACTATTATTTATATCCATTACTCTATGATACAGGTGGTTTCATTACAGGTCATTTCGTTTAAACTTAGTTTTGAAGAACCTATTGACAATGTTAACAGAAGACTTACTGTCTATTAGGATCTCCTAATTCAAACGAACTTTAAGTTCTTACAAAGCCATGACTTTGTGTTTTATGATTGTTGATATCATATGGTTTAGTGCAGTCTTTAAAATACTTACAGTTTGACATTAACCTGCGCTATTGCACTAGAGGACCTTCTTTTAAGTCAGCGGTTCTCAACCTGTGGGTTGCGACCCCTTTGGGCGTTGAACAACCCTTTCACAGGGGTCGCCTAAGACCATCAGAAAACAAAAAGATATTTACAGTACGATTCGTAACAGTAGCAAAATTAGTTATAAAGTAGCAACGAAAATAATTTTATGGTTGGGGGTCACCACAACATGAGGAACTGTATTAAGGGGTCGCGGCATTAGGAAGGTTTAGAACCGCTGTTTTAAGTTAATGAATATATTGCCGCAATTCAAATGTAAATTATAACAGAACACTAAATCCTAAAAAATTTTATTTTTATTGATTTAGTAATGTTACCATTCATTACAATCTTTCTAAGGTACTTATTTGGGGATATCCATTTACCCAAAAAGTATGAACCAATTATTTATATTTAGTGACTGGGTAATACATTTGATCTAACTTATGTCAATCTTTGTTACCCTGTTTAAATGGACTCACAGCAAAAAGTTTCAGTGAGAACACTTATTTAAGGTGATTTTACTTTTTGCTTGAGGAATTATATTGAAACTATAACTTTTGAAACTCCTTCAATTGTTTTATTAGTTTAGACAAAGGTCAATAAGCACATGAAACGATGCTTGACATCATCAGTGATCAGGAAAATAGTTATGTACTAAACTGTGTCTTCCGCAAACTCTTATTTTGAAGCCCTAACCCCCAATGTAAGTACTTGGAGGTAAGACCGGTAGGGATGTAATGAAGGTTCAATGAGGTGAGAAAGGTGGGGCCCTAATTCTATAGAACCGGTGCCTTATAAAAATAGGAAGAGACATCAGAGCTCTTTCTCTCTCCATGTATGCACAGAGGAAAGGCCATCTGAGGACATGGTGAGCCAGGGCGAGAGGCCTCACCAGATATCAACCATGCTGGTCCCTTGATCTTGGACTTTCAGCCTCCAGAACTGTGAGAAATAAATATCTGTTATTTAAGCCACCCAGGCTATTGTACTGTGTTATGCCAGCCCAGCTGACTAATACAGAAATCAAAACCTCAGTGATATTGCTCTTCACATCCACTAGCATGGCTACAATCAAAACGTCAGATAATAAGTGCTGGTGAAGATGTGGAGAAATCAGAACCCTCATATACATACATCAGGAATGTAAAATGCTACAGCTCAGGAAAACAGTCTGGCAGTTCCAGAGTTACCATAAAACCCAGCAATTCCACTCCTAGCTATGAACTCAAAGGAAACAAAAGCATATGTCCATGCAAAAACTTGTAAATAATGATATCAGCATTACTCAATAATAGCCAAAAGACGGAATCCTAAATGCCCATGACCGATGAATGGACAAACACATGTGGTATATCCAGACAATGAAATATTATCTTGCAATTAAAAGAATGAAACACAAATACGTCTTATAATATGAACCTTGTAACACAAAGTAAAAAACACCAATCACAAAAAAAACACATAATGTGTAATCTCACTTATATGAACTGCCCAGAATAGCCAACTCTATAGAGACAGAAAGATCAACGGCTGCTAGGGCTGGATGGGACAGGACATAGGGAGGTGACAGCTAAATGGGGTTTCTCTCTGAGGTGAAGAAAACTGACTGTAGTGATGTTTACATAGATCTATGAATATATTAAAAGCCAGTGAACTATATACCTTAAATGGGTGAATTGTGTGATATGTGAATTACATCTCAATAAAGCTGTTTAAAAAGAGAAACAACTTAGGGCCAGCCGAGTGGCTCAGTTGATTAAGAGCTCGCTCAAGAGTTTGAGCTCTGAGCAATAGCGGTTCGATTCCTGGCCCGAGCTGAGCTGCCAACACGTAGCTGGATGGCTCAGCTAAAAAAAAAAAAAAGAGAGAAACAACTTTCAGCAGTATTTCCCTCAGGTCTAACTACCCCTGGAGATTCCTTCTGTCCATGCTCACTCACCTGGGTACCTCTGGTTTAGGAATTCTTCCTCTAAGGACCAGGGCTCTTCCCCTCGCTCCAACTTGAAGATCACCTGGGGTTTGGTAATGCAATACCCTGTGAACATAACAATTGAGGGTATATGTAGACCAGATCCATGGGCTTGCTAGTTTCTGACTGTGGAGAAACATGTAGCAACAGCAAAATGAAAGTGCCCATTTGCTGCTTTCAATGGGAATGTACTGAATGACACAAACATTGTTTCTGTTTCTCTAAAGGTTTCAATTACCTAGGCCTCTTAATCAAAGGCCTGAATAACACTAATCTCTATAGTAGGTGCTTGTGCTTTGATAATTTAATAAAAAGGAATTGTATTGCAGAGGGAATCAGGTGGTAAGGTCTGCTCACCCACGGAGACCAGGTGGCTATAGTTCTCCAGCATCACATCTCTGTAGAGGGCCCTCTGAGCAGAGCCCAGGTGCTGCCACTCCTCCTGGCTGAACTCCACAGTCACGTCTTTGAATGATATGGATCCCTGTGATAACACATTTTGTTCAAAAGTTCAGAATTCGGTGACAGAGCAAATATCTTTGGGAACTACTATTTTCCTGCTTACGCTTAAGACTCTAAAACAAATACATATAAAGGATGTCTATTTGTGACCTAATTTCTCTTGAACTTTGGAGTTACTCAATTAGATAAAAAGGTTTTAATGTACCATACTTAATTTATACATATTTATGAATTGTAGATTTTTAAGACAAAAAAATTTTGGTATAAAAGAGACTTCCTACAATTCCTCTTCTACATCCCAAGGGACTGTCCTAGAGAATTCTAGGATGTGGACAACAATGCCAGAAATGATGGGAGCCAAGACAGAGACACATGGAAGCTGTGGAGATAACATACACAATGGAACTTCTGTGTAAATGAATGTAGAACGATATGTAACTCTAGAGCTTATGAAGAGCAAAGCACAACTTATGAAGGAGTTGGAATCAGAGAGACCTGTATAAGACAACTGTGTACACTGAATAATAGCAGTGGATATAAGGGTAGGGGTGGAATCACAGTGCAGGAGCAGCACCCAATGTGATAACTACTTTCTTAGACAGCTACCCAAGGAGCAACATGAGCAGTTCCTTGAATGCTGTGGTCAAATACTGATACTGGGGACACAAAAGGAAAAAACCTGTGGTAGAATTTAGTGAGACAGATCTGGTCATGTTGCTACCAAATGTCTATGGTACATGAAGCTGGAACTGTCCCTTAAAGTAGTACACACGTGGTTGTAGAATGTGTGTACAGAGGGGAGGTCCAGGATGAAGACAAGCATTAAGGAGTTATGAGCAAATTGGGTGGCAACTAAAGGTATCAGAGGCGATCAGACAGCAACTTGAGTACACTGGGATTGAGGAAAGCAAAGTACCAAAAACAGCACTGGAGGGACCATGGATATTAAAGAGGCGGGCGGAAAATGTATAGGTCACAAAGCCAGAGAAGAACTTTTCCAAAAGTTGATAACAGAACCATGAGAGGGCAGAGTCTTGGAAACTGAGAAAGGGAAAGTTTCCACAACAATAGACTTCAAAGGTGCTGGGAGATGGGAGAACTGGGGATTTGCTGTTCAATGGATATGAAGTTTCATTTGAGTAAAATATTAATTTCTAGCAAAATGCTGTAAAACATTGCACTGCTAGTTAACAATACTGAATTGGACATGTAAAAATTTGTAAGAGAATAGATCTCATGTCAAGTGTTCTTATCACAACGAAAAAAAAAAATAGAAAGTAGATTAAGTGATAAGAGGACAAGTTTTTTTTCCAGTGTTAGGTATCCAATGTTCATTCATGTCTTCAGTATCATGGAGCAAATACCTCCTCTCTGTTAAGTTCAGTGCTAGTAGTGGGGAGCTAAAACAAATGAACAAAATAACAGGAATACATCTCATTAAATTCATTTTTATCTAAAAAAATAAAGGAAATTTAACTATATTTTCCAAAACTAAAATATTAGTGAGAAAAGGACTGTTATTTTTTTCTAGTTTTTGCCTTCTCTTTAATATCTGGCTTAATAAAAATAAACTGGATTAAAATAAATTAAGCTAATAAGTGATGGAGGTGAAAATGTTGAATTAGGGATCACAGAAATTTCTTCTACAGAAATGAAAAAAAAACCAACCAAAAACTGGAAAAAACCATAGAACAAAGGCAATCAGTAGAAATATGTAAGAAAAATGACCGAATTACAGTAAAAACAGTGATACTGTATCCTTTAATTTACCCTGTTTCCACCACTCTTTCTCTGAAACTCTGCAGTAGTTTGACAACCAACCGTCTGCAGCCAGCAGGCTGGCAACTACAGAAGGGGCAGAACTGGGTTCACGTTCCATCAAAGCCTCATTCTCAGAAAAGTGGCACCATCTGCCTGTTTGTGGTTCTCTGAAAGATCCTACTTACAAGGATGTCGTTATTTGAGCTAACTTGCATGTGTATAGCTTGAGCTTCACACAGTATGTGTGAAAAGCCTTCTCCTCAGGATCCAAAATATTTAAAGGCATTTGTTTAACTTAGTGGCTACCTCAGGTGCTGGATAACAGCAGGGGCAAATAATGGCGTAATCAAGAAGCTTAAAAGGAAATGCTGGGGAATGGGATGTTAGCTAAGATTTTGAAACGCTCTGACATATCTCTGAGAATCTACAAGTCTACATACATGCATAGAGCTGTGCATATACCCAGGGCTGAGACCATGCTCAGGAAACATGTGAGAAGGCCCTAAGCTGTCACCTTTCCATGAACTTTGGCATAAGAAGGCAGTGAAGGCTACTGCAGGCTTGTAAACCGCCTGACTGACCATTGAAGGAATGCCCTGACACGCACACAGCAAAGACTGGGAGACTTACTGATTCCAGGCACTGAAGGAAACTTCTGAAGAGACCTTCAACTGATACAGATCAGAACAACAAATAAAGGCTCTATGCAATTAGTTCAGAAACATCACTAAACAAATATATTTCAAGAATGACCCCTGTGGAAAGTAGAAATTCTGATTTTTAAAGTTGCCACATTATTTTATTTGAAATGTCCAATTATCAACAACAACAATAAAAACTGCTAAGCAAGAAGAAAAAACAAGAAAGTATGACCCACATGCAGGAAAAAGGGTTATCAATAGAAATTGCTCCTGAGGGAGCAAATGTTGGACTTACTAGGCATCGACTTTAAATCACCTGTTTTAAATATGGTGAAAGAAGTCCAGGAAAGAATATTTAAGGAGTAAAGGCAAGTATAAGAACAGTATTTCACTAAATAAAAGTGTATCAATAAAGAGATATGCATTATAAAAAGGAACCAAATAGAGACTCAATGATTGAAAAGTACTATAACTGAAACAAAACTTTCACTAGAGGAGTTCCACAGCAGATTTGAGCAGGTGAAAGAATACCAAATTGTACAATATGTCAATTAAAATGATGCAGTGTGGGAAACAGAAAGAAAAAACAATGATAAAAAATAACTATGGGATAGCATCAAGTTTACAAATACATGCATAATGAGAGTCCCAGACAGAGAAGAGAAACAGATTGAAAGAATATTTAAAAAAATAAAGTCTCCAAATTTGATGAAAAACATTAACCTACACATCCAAGGAACTCAGCAAACTTCTAGTACAATAAACGTGAATAGAGCCATACCTGGAAAAAGATAATCAATCTGTCAAAAAGACAAACAGACAATCTTAAAAGCAGCAAGAAATAGTGACTCATCATGTGTAACAGCACTAACAGCTGATGACTAATCACAAACCATGGAGGACAAGAGGCAGTGAGATGACCTATTCAAAGTGCTGAAAGAGGTGCGGACCGGTGGCTCAGTTTGTTAGAGTACACGCTCTGAGCAACAGGGTTGTTAGTTTGATTCCCACATGGGCCAATAAGCTGCACCCTCTGCAACTAGACTGAAGACACTGACTTGAGCTGATCTGAAGCTGAGCTGCCAGTGGGCAACCAGATGGCTCAGTTGGTTAGAGCACGTTCCCTTAAAAACAAGGTTGTTGGTTGCATTCCCACATGGGATGGTGGGCTGCACTCCCCCGCAATCGGCAACTGGACTTGGAGCTGAGCTGGGCCCTCCACAACTAAGACTGAAGGATGACAACTTGACTTGGAGCTGATGGGTCCTGGAAAAAACACATTGTTCCACGAAAAAACACAGTTTCCCAATTTAAAAAAAAAAAAAAAAAGTGCTGAAAGAGACTTCAACTGCTCCAGAGCAAGAATTCTCAACCAAGAATTCTATACCCAGCAAAAATGTGAAAATTAAAACCTTTTGAAATTAAAAATAAACAAAAACAGAATGTGTCAAAAGCAAAACTGACCTACATGAAGTAACATAGAAAGTAATCTATGGAGTCAGAAAGTAGATTAGTTGTTGCTTGAGGCTTGGGAGGGGGAAATAAGATGATGGGACAGTACAGTTAAGTTTACAGAGTTGCTTTTAAAGGCGATGAAAATGCTCTACATTGACTATGGTGATGTTTGCACATATTTGTGAGTACACTTTTAAAAATCACTGAATTTTACACTTTAAATGGGTGAATGGCATGGTACATGAACTAAATCTCAATAAAGCTGTTTTAAAAAAATGAGAGAGGATGGGCCAGCCGAGTGGCTCAGTGGTTAAGAGTTGGCTTGGGATGCGAGTTCTGAGCAGCAGGGCTGCCAGTTTGGATCCCACATGGGCCAGTAACACTACAGCTAAGATGGTGAACAATAGCTCGACCTGGAGCTGGGCTGCATGAGTCGCCGGCAATGGCATAGGCTGCAGTGGGGCTGCAGTGAGCTGCCGTAAGCTACCGTGAGTGGCCAGCAGCCAGCGTGAGGTAGCGTGAGCTGCCGTGAGCCGCTGTGAGCAGCCGTCCAATGGCCGGAGACCTATCTGCCTCAGCCAGGAAGAGTGCAATGATCACAATACCAACATGGGCCAGTGAAGCAACGTCCTCCACAACTAGACTGAAGAACAAAAGGACAGCAACTCGTCTGTACCCCTACCCCAATTCCCCAATAAAATCTTTAAAAAAAAAAAAGAAAGAGGATGAAGTCCTTACAGGACAACAGAGAAGACTAAAGTTCCAAGGATAAAAACTGGAGGTGAACCGTGTGAAAGGACAAGGGAGAGAAGACGATCCATGAAGTTGGCAGCAGGGGCAAAGCCAGTGGAGGGTGTCACAGACACTAACAGAGACACTTTCCAGAAAGAAAAGAGTGAGAAGTAGAGGCAAGAGCAAGTGACACAGAAGAGTCAAGTAAGGAAAGGATTACAGAAGCCCCAATGGATTTGATTATAATCAAGTCTCTAATCACAAGATCACAAGCAAGTGGGGAGAAAAACCAAGGCATCATGAAAGGTTTGAAGTATGAGTGGGAAGTGCTAAAATATGTGAAACAGAATAGAATTTTAAACCATGTGCTGAGCAACCTGAATATCATAGATACTCGAAATATTTACCCAGGGTAATTTCAAGGATATTCAGTTGCTTCATCAGAAAAATGTCTTAATTCAACCCATGCTGGAGTTTCTGAAAAACAGTACTGACTGAGTATATATTTAGCATTGTTTCCTATTTTTATTGCAGAACAAATTTATTATAGGGTTACTGTTGGAAAGCTGTTAACTAAATTACCTACTTGAAATCAACAAAAAATATTTTTTATCTTCAATTGTCTTTACATTCTATAAGGAAACAGTTGGCTTTATCTTCTCACCAATGACAGTCTTTAAAAACGTATTTTCTGACACTGACATAAAAAAAAATCTCAAAAAGTAAATTTGGAGCTCCAATTTAGTAAATTTGTAGGATCACAGAATCTGCATATCTCCACATGCCACCTTTGCTCTGCTACTTCTACAAATTCTTTGACTGCATCTGATCCATCTCTATATCTTTTTTCCATGTTAACATAGAGACACTTAAGCCTTTATAATTTCCACTGTAAAATAAATGGTATTGACAACTGAACTCACCTGAGCTATGTTCATTTTCTGCTGCTCCTGGAATAAGGTAAACAACTGTGAAGGTTCCACTGGGGAGGAAGAAACAGAAATGAGGTCATGAGAAACAAACTCTTGCTTACGACTCCTATATTCACCTGCCTACAAATCTCATAACACCAACTGGAGAAAAAGCCTCCCTGTGGGACCACGTCCCTCTGACATTCTTGAGAAGGAACAGGAAGAAGCACACAGAGGTAGCACCACCTGATCATGTGCATAAGTATGTGGGCTTCACCTTGCATTTTCACCAAGTGAGGTCAACTGGTTTTGTCAAGGAATTCACAATATATGTCCCCTTCGGACAAAACAGACAAACAAAAAATTGAATATGTAAGTAAAACAGAGGATTGGTTAAACAAATTCAGGTCCACCAGAGGTCCCCCTACCTTCATTAAAACTAATGTCAAAACACAACTCTGGCTGGATTGTTCATCAAGTTCTTATTGTCTTTATACCGTGAGTTCGAGTTTCCCCAGAAAACTGAAATAGATGGGATTCTTTACGCAAGAGCATATTGTTTAACTTTTTGTTATCAGTTGGTTGCAGTTTCTAAAAAAAATCTTTGAACAAGATGTTTATGGAACTTACCTGTGAGAGTAAACAGCCCTGTGCTGCTTGCTGGGTTCTGCCCGGGGTGACTCTACAACAATCATTCATTTCTAGGTCTAATATTTATGGGCTTTCGTATGTGTCCAATACAGAAAACCTTTCTTCTACTCTCATTCTGTTAACTCCATGTCCAGAAAACAGGGAGCACAAGTGTAACTCTAGATACCACATGAGGTGATGGAGATGGTGTGAAAGCAGCTTAGAATCTGGAAAGGGTGAGGGCAGAACAAAGGAAACAAGGTGCTGTTTAGGGTTTCTTCAGCTCTGGCTGCTTACACCTTCCCTGGACATCAGTCCTCACCAGCCATCCAGTCAAGTGCCTTTTCCTGTGCAGCCTGACAGTCACCCATCCCTCTCAATCTCACATACCACCTTCTGCAAGTTGGTCCACAGTATCTACCGTCACACAGTCTGTGATGGCTTCTGGGTGTAATGACATTTCCCGAGTCTGACTCAGGCTATCCCAGGATCAAGAACTGCTTCTGATGGAGCAAATCGGGACCTGCTCCTTCTAGACACTTCTGCCTCTACTCTAAAGCTCTGGTGAGGAGTCTGTCAGAAGAGCTGTTCCCCCAAGTGGCAGTTGTTCCTGGGGCTCCTCCCTCTTTCCTGAGTTAAGTTACTTTGCGCCAGAAGGGCTGGGACCTGAGACTGAGAAACAAATTCACTTCAACTGAAACCTTCATGTAACACTCTAAACCTGACCCTTTGGACTTCACGAGAAATGGACTATCCAGCACTATACCCATTCCCTGCATGCAGCTGCTCCATCGGAAGGGTGGCTGCTGCCACGAGTCAAAATAGTATTTTGAACGTAGTGAATTAAATGCACCAGCAAAATTAGCTTCACCTCCTTTTCTTTTTACTGTTGCTACTGAACATTTTAATTATATTTTTATATTATATTTGCATTACCTTCCTACCGGCCAGCACTGCATTAGTTTGTCAGACTGGGCCTTTGCGGATGGAGACAGCCTGGACAGTGCAGGAAGGTGGAAGGGAATCACAGTCTGACCCAGAGTCTCTGGAGAAACCCCACACTTCCCAGGATATGTTTACCAAGCCGTTAAGCTTCTGTCCGCATTTACCGGTACTTCGCAATCATCTCTCCGGGAATTTGAGGACAGGCTACTCTGCTAAGTGATCCAAGGGTTGCAACTCTGGGTTTGGAGCAGGGAGGACATTAGGAAGAGCGAGAGATGGGGAGTAAAATCTGTATTTGTGTCCTACCTCTTCACCTACCAGCTTGTGCCCTTGGGGTATTTCATTCCACGCCAGGATCGTCCTTTCACTTTGGAAAATGGCATGTTTATATCGACAAGCAGGATTGTTGTGAGGGTTAAATGAAATAAAGAAAGGGAACAACGCGTCTTTTCATAGCAGCGTACAGAGTGACTACAAGCATTTGACAAAATGTTTTGCAGATGACACCTTATCTAATTCTCAGAATAACTGTGCGAACTACTATTAGTAGCCTCAAGTTTACCGTGAACATCACAAAGGTGCATTCCCCTCCCGCCGCCTGCAGCCCCCGCACCGGGCCGCACGGAGCACCTTCTCCTGACCAGGACGCGGCCCCACCTGCGCCGCCGGCTCCGCCAAGGGCGACCCCGCGCGCACACAGGGTCGGGAGAGGGGAGGGCCCCTTCTGGAGGTCCCCGGGATTCTCACTGTCGTGACGCAAGCCTTCTTGACCCGTTGGGGCCCAGCGCTCTCACCCCGGGTCCGCAGCCTCTACTTCCGCACAGATCCAGCGACACGGAGACAGCGTCTTTCTTAGGCCGGAGAAAGTGGACAAGAGGCGGAGTTACGGCTGTGCCCATGCGCAGAGCGAGGGCCGAAGACCGGTTCTCAGAAGGCTGCGCGATAAGCCCACACTTTAAAGACTACATTTCCCGTGAAACATTGAGGTCGTAGGAAGTAGTTTTTGAAGCGTTTCCGCTTCTTTAGCCAGTTGGAGGACGTGACAATTGGACCTGATCCTGGAAAACTTTCCAATATCTGCAGAGGTTTGGGGTTAGACTTTAACTTTTAGGACCTAATAACACATTGCAAAACGTGGTTCTCGATCGGATCCTGGTGTGAAAAGCAACAGCTTCAAGAGACAACAATTGGGGAAACATGAATATGAACTAGATATTAAAAAAATATTTAGGAAAATTAATCATTACCTTGGAAAGTGCGATAATATTTGGACGTTGTTGGAAATTGTTCTTTTTTAAAGATACATACTAATATGTTTACAGTTATGAAATCGTGTTTGTAATTTACTTTTTTTTGGTTTTGTTTTTTTTAGCTGAGCCATCCTGCCACCTGTTGGCTGCTCAGCGGCAGCTCAGCTTGGCTGGGACTTGAACCGGTGTTGCTCAGAGCTCACACTCTTGAGCGAGCTCTTAACCAACTGAGCCACTCAGCGGGCCCTGTAATTTACTTTTTTTAAAATTAAGCAAAACAATTAGGGAAAGCAAATATGGCAACAGGTTAAGAATCATGAAATGTATGTAATATGTGTATATGATGCTTATTTTACTGTTTCTACTATTCGGAGTGTTTGAATTTCTTTTTTACTACACCAGAAAAGACTTGGGATGTGGGAGGTTAGAGAGTTTAATACTCCTCCGGAAGCGTACCTTTAAAATCAAGCTGCCAAGAGAAGTAAAGTTACACACAACTATCTCTTTCACAGATGTGAAATAGAACAGATACTACAAAATGGAGCCAGCATTAACATAAAAGGGTAACCAACATCTGTGGCCAGCAGGGTGGTGGTGGGGAAGCAATAATCTAGCTGTTCAAATGACACAAGTTATACATGAAAACACAAATAACCCCAAATAAAATTGTTGTATCAGTTTTGCATTTCCATAGGTAAACCTTCCTTAGCACTCAATATGTGTACACAGAAAATGAGAGACATATGGACACAATAACATAATTTTTCTTTCTAGTAGACTTTTTTTTAGAGCAGTTTTAAGTTTATAGAATAATTGATCAGAAAGCACAAAGAGTTCCCATATACCATCACCCCATGCACAATTTCTCCTGTTATTGTCATCTTACTTTAGTATGTTTCTGTGTACAATTAAGGAATGATACATTATTACTAGCTAACATCCAAACTAGGTTACATTAGCAGTCACTCTTTGTGCTGTACAGTTGTATGGGTTTTACATAATGCATAATGTCATCTAGCGTAATGTCCAGCATTCCATCATCATACAGAGTAGTTTCACTGCCTCAAAAGTCTCCTATGCTCTGTCTGTTCAACCTCTGCCCTCTTGCTTTCCCATCCTGAACTCCTGGTAGCCACTCATCTTTTTATTGTCTCAATAATTTTACCTTTTCTGGAATGTCATATAGGTAGAATTATATAGTAAGTAGCCTTTTTTAGACTACTTAAAATATGCATTTAAGTTTTCTTCATGTCTCTTTGTGGCTAATTAGCTCATTTATTTAAATCCATGGATAATATTCCATGGTATGGATATATGCATTTTTTTATTGGGTTGTTCATTATTGTTGAGTTTTCAGTTATTTGTAATTTTGTATAAAATTCCTTTATCAGATGTGTTTTATACCAATATTTTCCCTCAGTCTGTGACTTCTCTTTTCATTCTCCACACATTCTTCCACAGAGCAAGTTTTTAACTTTAATGAAGTCAAACTGATCAGCTTGTTCATTCATGGATTACACTTTTGATGTTACCTAAAAACTCATTGCCAAATTCAAGGCCACATAGGTTTTCTTCTAGACGTTTGATACTTTATGTTTCATTTCTAAGATGATTATGATCAATTTTGAATTAATATTTGTGAAAGTGTAAGGTCTGTGTCTCTGTTTATTGTTTTTCCATTGACATTTTTAACTCAAGAAAATACCTTACACTACCATCAAATATTCTCATTCCTCAGCAACATATAAATGCTATGTCTATTTTGCAATTATTTCACAACTATTTCATGATTTTTTCCTTTTCATATATTTCTGTTCCTATATGGAATTGTAATAAAATATCCAAAATAGCCACATACTCTTCACTTACTATGTCATATTAAAATATTTTTGTATGTCCACTTTTGAGTGATAAAATTTTAGAGCTAATATTTTCTGATTTGTGTCAAACTAATGTAGTTGCATAAAATTCTGATATCTTCACTGACCACCCTAAGAAGCTCAGGGTAATAAAGGAAAAATGCTTTATATTTTATATTAATTTTATGGGCGATGGATCCTTTAATATTTAACTTTCTTTTTTTAACTGTAAATTCTTCACAGTTTTATTGGAATGTAATTGGCATATAATACTATGTAAGTTTAATATGTACAGTGTGATAATTTGGTGTGCATATATATTGTGAAATTATTACCACTATAAGATTAGTGAATGCATCCATGACCTTACATGGTTACCATTTTATGTTTGTGTCGTGAGAACTTTTATGATCTACTAAATTTCAATATTGAAAATAATCAAATGTCCATTTCTTTTAATTCACAGAGTAGTCTTTAATTGTAATTTTTTTCATTCTTTTCATTATATGCTATGTTCTCATATTCTGGTCAGTTCTTTCATTTTGAGGAATTGTTAAGATATTAATGTTAAAGGATACTCTGGTTTCTCTTCAGATCGTGTAAATCTTTCACCTTTTAATGTTAAAGGATAGTTCTTAGTATGATATTTGGTAAAATTGCTTTATACAAAAAAAAATAAACAAGTTAGTGTGTATTTCCCTTACAAGGCTCAGCCAATCTTTATAAAAAGCTATGTTGAAATATGCCCAAACACACATGTACATACTTAAGGAGATTTAACATACTGTTTAGAGCAATGAGAATACCTGGTACATTTTAAATTTTATACAGTTAATGAGTTCTAAATACATCTGGTTTGTAATTTCATTTCCCATTTTAAATCCATATACATTCTCACTTCTTTCACTTTACAACTTTCTATATTCCTCATTCCAGGTGTTATTTTATATTCTACAAATATTAACTTTTGTTCTTATGATAAGACAAAACAGACAGTGAATGGCGGTGTCTTCTCACAGTGTTTTGTCTTGAAAGACCAACCCTCAGGTTTCTAAAAACACAGGAAATCTGCTTTCTGTCATACTGTGCAAAAATTTTATAATGTTTGTGTCTACTCATTCAGGCTGTCATGACAACAGCTCTGGCTCTTAATGTAAAGTTCCCCTGGCGGGATTTCAATGTATGCGCATCTCCATTAGCTTCAAGGTGGTGGATCTCATCTAAGTACATCAGAGGGCTTGGGGCCTATCAATGACCTCCAGATAGACTCCTTGGGCATTACAGACAGGTAAGGCCTATCTCATGTCTTTATTATGGCATGCTTCTTTTCAAACTTTTGATAGAAGATAAAAATAAAAAATATACAGCATATCTTTCCCCTCTCTTTTTCCTCTCTTTCTCTGTTCTCTCTACCGTAGACAATGAAATATTTATGAAATACTTAGGTTTACATTAAATCCAGAAAATTGCTTCTCTAAATTCTTTTCATGTTTCCCCCAATAGCTATATTTTACATAACTTAAGTACAGTATCAATGGTAGGAAATTGGGTTGAATACATGTGTGTGTAATTCTTTCTGCTATTTTATCACAGGTTTGTATAACCACTACCACAATTTCAATACAGAACCATTTCATCACCACAAAGATCTCTCTCATGCTATCCCTCTCTTTTCCCACCATCCCTAACTCCTGGAAAACACAATTTGTTTTCCATCACTATAATTTTTACCTATAAAGAGTTTTATATAAATGGACTCATGCCAAGTGTGGTCTTCAGAGACTAGCTCTTTACTCAGCATTTCACTTTCAAGATCTATCCAAGTTGTTGCACGTATCAAAAGTTTGCTTGTTTATGACAGTAGTATCCCATGATACACATATATCATAGTTTGCTTAACCATTCACCTGTTCAAGGACATTTTGGGCCTTTTCAGTTTCAGGGAAATACAAAAAAAGTTGTTATGTACAGGTTTTTGTATGAATATAAATTTAAATTTCTCTAGGGGAAATGCCTTGAGTGCAATTACTGAGTCATATGATAAATGTATGTCAAATAACTTTTTAGAGTGGCTGTACCATTTTACATTGCCATCAGGAATGTATGAGAGACCCAGATTCTCTGCATCATCACCATTATTTGTGCTGTTAGTCTTATTTATATTAGTTGTTCTTGTTGGTGTGTAATGATATCTCAATGTGGTCTAATTTGCATTTTATGAATGGATACTGATATGCAACCTCTCTTTATGTGTTCATTTATTTACTTTCCATATATTTTCTTTGGTGGAATGTATGTTCATGTTCATTGTCCATTTTCTCATTGGGTTGTTTGTTTTTCTATTGTTTAGTTTTGAGAGTTTTCTTATATATAAGTCCTTGGTCAAATATGTGATATGCAAATATGTTTCTAGTTGAAAGCTGCTTCCTGTGCAAAATTTTACAATTTTGATGAAGTCCAATTTGTCATTTTTTTCTCATTGACAAAGCTCATTAGACTGGCATATTTGCCAGAATTCCATATAAAGTGATGTATAAAA